GGTCCGCACTGATCCGTACCGGTCCGTACTGGTCCGTACTGGTTCTTACTGGCCTGCACTGGTCCGTACTGGTCCGTACCGGTCCGCACTGATCCGTACCGGTCCGTACTGGTCTGTACTGGTCCGTACTGGTTCTTACTGGCCTGCACCGGTCTGCACTGGTCTATACTGGTCCGTACTGGTCCGTACCGGTCCGCACTGATCCGTACCGGTCCGTACTGGTCCGCACTGATCCGTACCGGTCCGTACCGGTCCGCACTGATCCGTACCGGTCCGTACTGGTCCGTACTGGTCCGTACTGGTCCGTACTGGTCCGTACTGGTCCGTACCGCTCCGTTCCGGGCGGGCTCCATCAGCCCGAACGCGAAGGGAAATGGCGCCACCTGGTGGGAGCGGCCGGAACGACAAACACAGAACAGCGCGGCCAGTGCGGACCAGTAAGAACCAGTGCGGACTAGTGCGGGTCAGCCCATCCCAGTATAACCCAGTACAGACCAGTGCGGGTCAGCCCATCCCAGTATAACCCAGTACGGGCCAGTGCGGACCAGTACGGACCAGTACGGACCAGTACGGACCAGTATGGACCAGTAAGAACCAGTACGGACCAGTACGGACCAGTGCGGACCAGTATGGACCAGTGCGGACCAGTACGGACCAGTATGGACCAGTAAGAACCAGTGCGGACCAGTACGGACCAGTACGGACCAGTATGGACCAGTAAGAACCAGTGCGGACCAGTGTGGGCCAGCCTGTCCCAGTATAACCCAGTGCGGGCACAGGCCATCCCACCATGGCCCATCCCAGTATAATCCATCCCAGTACAATTCTGTCCCAGTGGAACGGACGGTGTAACCAGTCCCAGTATAAACCAGTCCCAGTATAAACCAGTCCCAGTACAGCTCCACACCAGTACGGCCCCATTGCAGTTGTCCCGTTCCTCCCCACCTGTCCCTGTTCCTGTCCCCTTTCCCTGTATCCTGTCCCCTCTCCCAGACTCCCGGTGTCCCCGTGCCTGCATGTCCCAGTGTCCCCACTTCCCAGTGTCCCGGTGTCCCCATAATGTCCCGGTGTCCCCATGTCCAGCTGTCCCAGTGTCCCCACT